CTGTTTTCCACGTGTTTGCGTCAACATGTTTTTTAAGTTATCTTGACCTCTTTTTGTGTGGCGAACAGCTGATCCTACCGTGTCACCATCTAATCGTGTGTTTCGCAGATGTTTCGCAGATTTCATAAGTAACGAATATTTTAAAGCGCGGGCTAAATTCGAGGTAGTGGCGATGCAATCGCCACAAAGGAAAAAGTAGCTCCTGGAGCAAATAATGACAATTTTTAGTTGAGTAAATAATAACAAGTCAAAAAGCTTTTTTAATAATTGAATATGATTTTTCTAATTCATTTGGGATAATATATAAGATCGAACAAGGCAAGATCCAGAATAAATGTAATTTTTAATAAGAAATACTAGCAAATAATGTTACTATTATTTATCAACAAATAAAACTTTACATATGGCAGAGTATAGAAATTAATGTAAATTGCCTTATCTAATCAAAATGTCAAAATAAAGATCGATTAGGTCTTAAGAATTATGTATTTTGTAATTGTCCCACATGGTGTCACTATTTACCCATAGAGAAGAAGCAAATAGTGACAAATGTAGGTTTCAGTTTTTATGAAAATCTAGTCCGTATACATAACTTACGGAAACTCTAATTAAATTTTTTGTATATTTGAAAGTGGAGAGTACTTTTTTAGTCAAAAATCATATGTATCTTGTAAACTTGAAATTAGCTTGTAGGAAAGAGAGAGGAAAAAATCCGTCCCTATTTGCCTCCCCCCCCCCTTCCCTTACTTACTCATGGGCGCGACATTTGAGAAATAATTAGATTAAATATACCAAGGCACAAATAATCGGTCCATAGATGTCGATTCGATGTCTACATAAGACATCGAATCAATGTTTAGAAACGTCGAATCGAGGTCTATAGACCAATTATTTCTGCCTGGTAGTAACTTCTAGCATTGTCGCGTTTGACGTTTATAATTGAATTCATCCAACTGCAAAAGTGTCATCGCATTTGTCGCCAGTGTTCAAAAGCTCATGCCCTAGTGTGAAGACCAGGAGAATCAAAAATTATAATTGTTTCCGACAAAGAAGAATTGTTATTAAATTATGACGCGTGACGCGCGCGTCAAATGACGCGCCTATGAGTATAGGTAGCTTAATTAACTCCATATAGTAGCATATAGTTCATTAGCGATACATTGATCAAATACATTGGCATGCATATATTGCGCCAATCAATTGTGCTAGGAAATTCCGTCTTTTGTGCTTATCTTTAAATATTTTTTAATTTCCATACACGTTTTTCTTATTTACTAAGTTCGAGAAATTCGACTATTGGTTATTTCTGACCGAATCAGATCCGCCACAAAGGATCGGGTGTCATTGGGCGCGTTCAGCAATCAGCAGACAAAGGCTGCGTTCGATTTGGCGCTTATAAGCATCATTTATCCTTATTTAACATTGATAAACAACAAGGATGAAATGATGTTGTAAGCGCTGTAAGCGCCAAAGCGAACGCAGCCAAAGCAGATCAGTGAGCACTTATAGTGAATCTTTAATATGATTGGTTTTTGCCTTGTTCGCTGGATCTGAATAAACCAATCGTAACAAAGAATCACACTGAGCGCTCACTGATCCGCGCTCATGAACTGTCTGCTGAACGCACCTATTGAAAAGGAAAAAGATTAAGAAGACACAGATAGATTCGTAGTTAAATTTCGTACGATCCGATCTTGTACTTAAGATCGTCTTAAATACGATCTCGAGATGCTTTACGTATAAAATTTTATAAATATTGCAAATAAGATATAATTAATTTTTTTTATTTGGCCGCGTTATTAAATTTGATACTTTGATTTTTTTAAATTTCAACTTCAGACTTGAAATCTGCAATAACTCCAAAAATCTCCATATACTAAAGTTCAGTAAAATATGTTTAACAGAAAAAATGCAACAAAGGCTTAAAACAATTTTGACTATAAAATCGGATGTATTTCCTATGAGAGTACGGCCGACCTTCTATTATATTTCTTTTTTCCTTTTTTTGCTTTAAATTACATTAGTCTTGCGAAATTATCGCATTTTTTTCGTTAATGAAATAATATTAAAAATTCATAAAACTCCTTACGTATCCCTTTCGTCTCAAACTGCTAATATATTAACGTCAGATATTTGTAAAATTACACACGCCTTTATATTCTTTTTTGCAACATGCGCGCGACATAGGTACTATTTACAATCTCGGGAAGGAAAAAATTGTTTCCGCCAATTTCAGTGAATTTTATCCTTCATTTTCCGAAATAACATTTTTCGCATTTAATCGCCAGTCCAGACAAAACTATAATTTCTAACTATTTACCAATTGTCGTATTCACTGCAATCCCGAGGTCCAGTTTTCGGTACTGCGATGATACATCGAGCCGTGAGAAATCGTTCGTGAGAAACGCCGGGCCCGGGCGTTTGCCGGCAAATTCGTCGAAACTCGATCAAAAATAACGATTAACGGTCGCTCTCGCGATCGCGGGCTCGATATCGTTACCCGATATCGTAAAATGAGACTGTCAATTCGGAAGCCCGAGGCGGCTCCGCGCGAAAGACGCACAAAACCGAGGTACAATACGCACGTGCGTGACAGCTGCTCCTTCTAGAATGTTGTACCGGGGGCGCGAAATTGCGCCGCCGTTCGTGTCGCGTCGCGTCAATCTCCGTTTCCCGCGGGAGCGGGATGCCGTTGATTCGGTCGGTTGGATCTTATCGATACAGCCAAGAGACGAGTCCCTGCACATTTTGGAACCGGCGAACGCGCCGCCTCGAACCCAAATGCGACGTCATCCCGCGCGAATTCGCGAATCGTTCCCGGCCCGGTTGTCGTCATATGTGTCGCATATCGACGTCGATATTTCGCGGTAATGTCTACGTGAGGAATGCCTAAAGCGAGCGCGACGCGCCTCGATTGACGAAAGCCGGAAATTCTATATACCTTTGTACCTGCCGCGGTCGCGGATCGCCGATCCTTCATTCGCATTTCTTTCGTCGAGCATCCTAGTCGCCGTCCTCGTCGCACTCGCCGTCCTCGTCGCGCACCCGATGTAAACAAAACGTCATTATGGCGCAGTTCGCCGCGAGCCCGCCACTGGCCGCGCACCTGAAGTGTGTGCGCTACTGGTATGCGTGTCCAATGACCGCGCGGCGCGAAAGGGCCACGAGACAGGAAAGTGTGATACGACCCGCCACCATGTTTAGTCCATTGGCTGCGCGCGAAGTAATAAAGCTGCGTTAGGCCAGAAAAGGCTCAACTGTTGCTAATTTTTTTTTTAATACGATTATTGATTCTTGCCCTTGGTTTCTTTAAATTTAAACTATATTTAAATGTATAAATCACTTTAATTATATTTAAAAAACCTACAACAGTTTTTGTATAGTAACAAGTATAGTGACAAAGTTTCTGTATAGTATGTATACATGACTAAATTTTTTACTATTGCCAGCGAATATTGGAAATGCAACCTTGTTAATGTTGTTAGTTAACAATAACTGAAAGTAAACATTAGAACATCGTTTATTCATTTAAATTACCAAGTAAAAAAAATTTATCAAAAGTAGTACAATGTATAAAATACAATGAAATTTTGAATAGCTTAACTTTAATCAACAGAATTAATATTACAACATACAGTAATGATGCAGTATAAGTAATTATTGACAATTGAAATTAGTAATCGATACATAATTATTTTCAATTTGTCGCAACTTGTTCTGCTTTTAATGTCTTATGATGTATAACAGAAACATTAGATATATGGACTAAATATTTCATATATCGAATTACTCGCTAAAATTAATGTTCCAAAAAAAAAGTAATTTTTCAATCATTTTCATTTTTGAATGTGCATATTAATGTGCATAATATACTTCCTATTGCAAATAATTATGTACTTACGTTAATAGCGAAATGTAGATAAATGATTATTTAAAATTAAATATTTGAAAGAAATAACTTTTTGGAAAGTCTTTTGAAATGTTTTTTTCTATCATATAATAAATATGACATAAGCACAATAATAACAACAAAAACATTATTACAAGAGCGTTTCAGGTATTACATGACATGAAATCGATAATTACAATAAAAGCGTTATTAACGACAAGAGCATTTCAAGACAAAATAATCTGCAGAGACTATTAACTATATTGACAGAGAGCACACACGATATTATATAAAATAAAAACTGAGAATGTGTTTAGTAAAATCAATTTTTTATTATTTTATGTGCTTAATGTTTTCAACTGTTTGATTTCATCGGCATATTATCTTTTGACTGACTCACTCGTTACACCGGCACAAATTTGGCGTAATCGGTATCGCATTTGTTCCGCTGTGAAGTTTAAAAAAAGCTTCGGCATAAGTCTTTGTAATTCATACTATGTGTATAAATTCTGTATATTGTAAGTTAACAGAGCTTGTTGAATTAGAGCTTTATCATGTTTTGCGGTAAAATGATTTACCGATTTACATCTTCATTTTTTTTCTAGGTCTATTATTGGATTGTTTTGTATCGCGTGATAATGAAACGTTCTCCAACAACGTCGTAGAACGTTGATCCGTGTCCTTATGTTTGTTTTTTGCCGCGAGCCTTTGGGATCGTCGTGTCGAAGGTATTGAAATTACAGTTGGTCAGGGTTGGGTAGTATCTAGTTAAAAAGTTAAATAATTTTAACTTAAATTAGTTACATTTTACTCTTAACTTTTAACTTAACTTAGTTAAATTTTATCTGTAACTATTAACTTATAATATAACATTTTTGAAGTTAACTATAAATAAAGGCGTCATAAGACGGCGCACACCTGTCTACAAGTAATGACTTTTGGGCTGCGTTTAGAAACTTCGTCTAGGTGCATCTGGATATTATTTTATTCTTGTTTAACATTCAATGAATAACAAAGATAAAATAATGTACCGTGAATTTCTGAACGCAACCGTCGCAGCCCTGTATATTCATTGGGTATCGCGTGCGACAAACATCGCGCTGGTGTGTAAATTGTGCAGAAGACATTTGATGTGTCAAAGTGATTAGTCTCAAGTCTATGATTGTGGAATCGCGGAGAAAAGTAAAAAAACTATTAATGTTATTTTTAAAATTAAAACCCTGAAATCAAGAAATAAAAAAATTTTACTTTTAACTTTTCAATTACTTTTTTTATTAACTTAACTTTTAATCCAATTAATTTTATTATGGATTAACTTGTAACTTAACTAAGTTAAATTTTTTAGGCTGTTAACTTTAACTTAATTTAGTTTTAAAAAAATTAACTTACCCACCCCTGCAGTTGGCTGAAACGTTGTTGACGGTACCATTATTATAGTCGCCCTAGATCGACGGAAACCGTTCATCCATCGGACAATCAGCGGCGATTGCGCTCGCTCTCGAGGAGGACGTCGACGGAGGAGGAGACATCGATGGGTGGACAAATATCGTCTTCGACATTGATGGAATAGGCTCCTCCAGACAGTCCAGACAGTGGTCGTCTAAGGTCGACGTTGGTAGGGACAATGGCGACGACGGCGACGGCGATGGTGGTACCGATAATAAGCGATCGAGAATACGAACATCTCTAACGACGATGTTTTGATTTGAGCGACCTTCAGTCATCGCAACATGCGTCCTCATGACGGCTTCATCCCTATTACTGTCGTCAGTAGAAGACGATAATGGGGATGAACGACCCAAATCTTTTGTCGAGTCGGTACGTTTCGACACGCGCGAATGACGCGGCGATACGACGGCGGCGACAACGGGACGTTTTGTACTCCTTACGGTGGTACGAATTCTATAACGACGAGTTCCACGGAGTTCAGTTGTCAGGCATCTTCTTTGATTGGCTCGCTGTCTCAATATATTTAATTGCTGTTGAACGTATCCCGCGCTTACGTGAACGTTACCTGGTAATGTTGCAGCGTTTATAACAACGGCCCAGTCGTACTGCTTTGAGTGCTGTTTTAATAGGTGAACGGGAAGAACTTGACAGCGTCGATTAATAAATTTGCTGAGCAGATTAATCATTCGAGGACGATTGGATGTTCTAATGCACATCATGACAACGTTTGCAAACATAGTTTGCGGATCAAGAAGGGCGAGGTGACTTGCGTTCTGCTCTTCAATTCCCTGTTTCGTTATTTTTGCGCAACAATTTATCACGCCTTTTCTTCGGTGTTCATCGATAAAAAATTGTAATGAAAAGACGTTCTTCCATTCGTTAAAGTACCGCAAAACGTTAACGCTGTCGACGGTCACTTTGGCGGCGGATGACGCAGTATCGTGGTGAACCAATTCCGCGTTGTATGCCCATGACGCGTATAGGCATACGAGGAATCTTAAACCTTTAAGATCATCATCATAACTGCCGTCATTTTCTTTCACGTCGTCAAACTCCTCTGCCGCTACCGTTGAGGGATCAGGTAATGTGCAGATAATGTTCCATATAAATCTAATAATGTTCATGACAGAATTCCGAATATCGTGTGTAAAAAATGGATATATTGATGTGTCCGTAGGATCGTTTAATTCCCTTAAACATATTCTACCGCGATCGATAGATCGACTTTCGGTCGTTCCGCAAAACATGTTTTTTGCGATCTGAAAGTTTTGTGTTCTGAGCAATCCGTTAACAAAATAGGTTACTCTAAAATCCGCCCTTATTGTGCGACGAATAGTTTGTGGACTTGTCCATGTGTCTTGGCCGTACGACTCGTACGTGCTGTGCAATACAGAGTGCAAAAAGCGAAGATCGTCGCCAATATTTAGGTCCATATATTGATTCCAGTTGGATAGGCGGTATAGCGTACCGTGGCGTAAAAAATAACTAGTCGACACGCACATTTCATCTTGCTGGAAAATTTTCAGACGCGTAATCTCTTCTGACATAGAACCATCGATTCGAAGTGTGTCAAGGGTAATCACTTCCTCTACTCTCAATGCCTGCCTTTTACGCATATAGTGCTCGCAGAAGGCTAACAGATAATGCAAATGTTGTCGCGTGTGAGCGGCCGTTTTTTTTAATTTGCGATTCGCGTCGGCGTATCCGCGGCAAATCGCAAACGCGCCCAACAATCCAGAATTCGCACTCTTTTCCATTGTTGCCTCGTGACATGCTTGCACGAAGGTGATGGCATGATTTAGGAAAGGTGGGGAAGCGTACCGCGTGAAATAGCCGTAATCAGCCGTAAATCCCACGTAATAACGTTGCGTCGATTGACTGTCTATGGATCCTTCGAAAAATGAGGCGATCGAATCGGATCCTCTTCCCGTTAGTTTCACGACTATAGGATCGTCGTTCTTAAAGGTGAGAGTGTCCGCGCGATATATCTGGATCACATCTACGTGATCGTGATCAATGTCGATCATATCACTCAAAAGTTTTCGAGCATTACTTTTTGGTAGTCGCACTCCATGGAGATACATGTAAAAACGGATATCAGATATGCCACATTTTTTCCGCAAATCCGTCGCTAAGAGACACTTTGTGATTTTTCGAACGTACGAACAGTATTCACGCCGGATGACATTGAACGATCGTTGTACGTCGTATAAAACATACTTTAAATCCGTCTTAGCCGTTGGAGTATCTGTTCGCAGCATTCGGGCCGCTCTCAACATTATTTTATGCATGAAGGCTGTAGTTGCTACACGTACTAATCGTCCCTCCTCTTCGCAGGTCGTGTACTCTGGCATATCATCGAACAGCGGGCTGGTGTGATCCAGCTGAAAGACGGCGAAGAGCGGATGGGAGTCGATCTCGAAACACTGAAACTCGTACCATGTGGCACACGGCTCGATGTTGTTGTGACTCGTTGAAAAATGAGGACGTTGTATGTCGTATCGGTCTCGCTGGCTCAGATACCGCGTGAATTTGGTGTTCATACAAACGGCAATTTTTGCCGGTCTGGTATGAATTTTTGAAAAGTACGAGCACCGAAATGGTTGTAGAGTGGTGCCCGAAACGAGAATCGAGCCAATGTCGGTTCGAATCTCTAAGCCCTGACCACTCGCGGAATTCATGTCAACGACCGTCGCATTCAATGGTCGCAAAGCTTCATGTTGCTGCTGCCGCCCATTATCGACGTCCTCTCTTTCGTACACTTTGTCTTCATTCTCCTCTTCATCCTTCTTCTCTTCCTCTTCCACGGCTTCAGTCGGTACGTTTATATGCGATACGGGACAAAAATTAACGTTGATGACGTCTTCATTGACGACAGTAGTTTCGGTGTCTGCTATCGAAATTCTTGTCGGATTTGAGCGTAGTTGATCGTTATCGAGCGAAGGCGCTCGTTCGACCTCCTCGATGTTCAGAGAACGATCGCGCGACAGCTCTGTTTCTCGCATTCGCGACATAGCGCTAAGTAAATAGTAAGTCGCGAAAGTTAATGGTAACTCGATAATACGAGATATAAGGTAAACACGTACACGAGACGACACGCATCAGATGCAGACAGAGACTCCTGCCGAGACAGACTCGACGACGTAGACTCGATGATACAGCGGACGCGCGCGAAGACTCGACGACGGCACAGCGGACGCGCGCGAAGACTCGACGACGGCACAGCGGACGCGCGCGGAGACTCGACGACGGCACAGCGGACGCGCGCGGAGACTCGACGACGGCACAGCGGACGCGCGCGGAGACTCGACGACGGCACAGCGGAGATTCGATGACACACAGTGGATGCGCGGAGACAAGATAGTCTGTATTGAAATGTAAGGAGCGAGCCAATAACGTGGACAAACGCGACTCGAACGACACTATAACGACACGAGCAAAATGACACGACACAGACGACACTAGCAAAATATCACGACACGAGCGAGACACTACGACACGAGCGAAACATTACGACACTAGCGAAGTATAAGTCACTTGACGACAATAAATCCGCGGGAATAAGCCGAATGGCGAAAACCGATGCTGATGCAACAGCGGGACGAGCCTCGAAAGGTGTAGAACGCGACGCGATTTTTCACGAACGCGGGATATGCCGAATCAGCCGAATGGCGAACAGAACACTGACGAGTACACAACGACAACAGCGGGATGAGCCTCGAAAGGTGTAGAACGCGACGCGATTTTTCACGAACGCGGGATCTCTCTGAGAGCCCTCGAGTCCTGAGGTAGGAAAGATTAGGATAAGGGGGATGATTTCTTATCCCACTTCTGACAAGATTTTTATGTATGTACTGTAAGGCAAGGGTTCTAGTTTCGAATATTTTAATGAGCCCGCCTCACAACTTGCAAAAGTCAGGAAAATAATATAAGGGAAGACCAGAGTGGTAACCAAGGGGTATCTCGAGGAATCTTTAATTTAAGCAACCAAGGATCGGGATAGGATACTCAGAGAGAGACACTCTTTTAACACACTTTATTAGTTATTACGCACGATGTCTTCACGAGACTTTTTCAACATACAGTCAAATCACGAATGAATCTTCTTCCGGCAGGCGGCAATGCCGGCGCCCAGCTCACCTCGACGTGCGCCATCATCTCTCAAGTCTCAACCAATTAGGCGCCGTATACGAGTCACTAAGCGCGAGGCGCTTGCGCCGCAGCGCTATTACCACTCCCGACCAATCTCACGCGAACAAGACGATGCGCGCGCAGCTCGCGAGGGAAATCGCCGCACGTTGGTAGCAACGAAATCAGACGAAAAATGTCGGTGTTACAGGTTAATTCCTTACAGTATAATAGACTATTATCCTTACAGTATAATAGTATAATAAACAAAGAGCGCACACGGTATTATGTAAAATAAAAACTGAGAATAATGTGTTTAGTAAAATCAATTTTTTTGTTATTTTATGTACTTAATTAACAGGGTTGGGTAAGTTATTTTTTTTTAACTATAAATTAAGTTAAAGTTAACAGCCTAAAAATTTAACTTAGTTAAGTTACAAGTTAATCCATAATAAAATTATTGAATTAAAAGTTAATAAAAAAAAAGTAATTGAAAAGTTAAAAGTTAAATTTTTTTATTTCTTGATTATTTCAGGGTTTCAATTTTACAAATAACATTAATAGTTTTTTACGTTTCTCCGCGATTCCATAATCCCTCCAATCACAGACTTGAGGCTAATCACTTTAACACACCAAATGTCTTCTGCACAATTTACACACCAACGCGATGTTTGTTTGCCGCACATGACACGTACGCGACACATACCCAATGAACACACAGGACTGCAACGGTTGCGTTCACAAATTCACGGTATGTACATTATTTTATCCTTGTTTTTCATTGAATGTTAAACTTAACTGTTAATAAGCTTAATTGTTGCTAAATTTTTTAATACGATTATTGATTCTTGCCCTTGATTTCTTTAAATTTAAAATATATTTAAACGTATAACTCAATTATATTAATGAAACCTGCAATAGTGACAAAGTTGCTTTTATTGATGAACGCAGTCATAATGCCTATAATTCCTCATGCCGTCTCTATATCAATGTAGATTGACATTAATCTTAGATTAAGGCCAAGATACAGACTTTTGTATAACGCTGCATAACGCATAAGACGTAAGGCATAAGAGAATCAACCAATCAGAGTATGAAATGAAAGATTCTGATTGGTTGATTTTCTTATGCTTTATGGGTGCGTTCCTTTTGGACGCTCATGTAAGCGCTCATGCTTATAAGCGCTATATTTTCTTCCGTTCCTTTTGAAATTTAAGCGCTCATACGACTGTCATGCAAATTCCGTTCCCTTTGGCATTTGTGAGTGACTGTGAGCGTATCAATTAAGATAGCAATTGAAAGTGATATGATTATGTTTTATATAATTATGTTAGCAAATGTTGGATTAGATATAATATGTTTTAATGAAGAGTGGATAATATTCTGTTTATCTATGATTATACAGCTATTGCAATTAGTTTATCTGGATATACTTTTATCTATTTTTTTCCTCCCCTTTTGCTCCACTGGTTGGTGAATTATAGCGCCTTCAATCTTTTCACAAGGTTATATACTACATAGCGCAATACTTTTATCTAAATCGCATAAAGATTATGTAGTTGTCCATACAAATTTTGGTTAGGTGCGTTCCGACAACACAACGGCCACCGTTCTCTTTGGACGCTTATACGCTTATAGCTCACGCTTTCGTTGCCCTACCTCGATAAAATGAACAATTGTAAGCACGAGTCATGACGTAATGATGACGTCATGAAGTCTTTCATGAGCGCTTATAACGCCAAAGGGAACGGTATAAGCGAAGCTTATAAGCGCTTACAGCGCGTGAGCGTCCAAAAGGAACGCAGCCTGTCTTATGCATTATGCAGCGTTATGCAAAAGTCTGTGACTCGGTCCTTGACCTACTCTTTATCTTATTTTTATTTCTATCTTTTCCTAATTCGTAGAATTTTTTAAAACTTATATATCTTTTATTTTTTCTTAATCCTTAGAATTTTTTAAAACTTACTCTTTATTTTTCCTAAGATGAAAAATAAGTTATAACAAATTAAAATTAATCGACGTATTGGACATTAAAGGCCCATCTACATAAGTTGCAAACGCAAAACGCAAACGCAAACGCGAAGAAAAAAAAAAGGAGAGAGAAATGTCCGCGTTTGCGACTTAT